TATAATCTGCTGACGTCGCTTCTGACTGATAACTCGCATTCATTCACCCCTTCACTTATTCACAACCACCCACCCGCGTCCAGCTACAAACACAAATGTCACTCAGACTAATTATCACAATTACATCCTCCCCCGAAAAACTCTTCATTCTTTCTCAATCATGTGTGCCGAGTTCTACTTTAATCTCGGCCCTCAAATGACTGAAACAACAATAAACCGTAAATAGTGGAGCCTCGATAAGCAAACAGCTAGTGAACGTTATCAAGAGAGAAAATTTGCAACCTGAATAGATGAGGAACCATTGATTAAATCACCTAGGTGAGTTCTATGACTATCACTAGGGCGAGAATATTGCCAAATAGACTGCGTGTAAGGGCAAAGGTAATAGGACGCGTGAAAAACCACGTGACAAGAGGGGCGCGGTTCCAACAGGAACATCCGTCGGATTATCCATACAAGTGCACATCACATGACTGTAGAAATAGGGACTACTGGATAGGACGAATAAGAAAAGACGATCGGTCGGACAAAGTGTACCACACCCACTAATTGGTTCGGGGTCAAACTTTCGAATCCTAAAGGCTAAACTTTTGCGAAAAGGTACACCAAAAGCTCTGCACTAAGCAACGCAGTTTCATCTACCCCGATACAGCATGTATCAAAATGAGTAGTCTGTTTTGCCACTCTCATACCAACCCAGCAGGCTAACTAGCGGCGGCACTCAAGATGACGGCGATATGGTTGCGTTGTGGTATACATAATTTTACGCAGAACCGATCAATGTATTGACTTGGACTGACCACTCTTCAGACCACTTTCACGCACAATCCTCAGTTCGTTTGATCAATCAGAAAATATAGAAGCACTAGACTCGCTCTTAATATAGCTCAACACTAGTACGTATCCACCGTCCCGCCCGAACTTCCAACTCTGAACCCATCGTATAGAAGGCGTTTGTGTTACTTCTGTGCCAAGTAGGTCACACCAAGGTTAGGGTTCCTCATGAAAACCCCACAAATTATTGTTGCCTTGCGGGTCAGACTCTTGAGTAGAAGGATCCAGTCAGGGTTCCCAAAGAAAAACCCTCGTCGGTGTGGGCTACCGCGATGTATGTTGTGCCCGCAAGTCTAAGGGCACCCATTTGGAAAACCCTCTTTCTCATCTGTCTATTCTTCCTCTCAATCCTGAATAATTCCAGCCATTTTCTGTTTAGACTACCCATCGGATATCATTCAGCGTTTTACCAGTAAGATCAACCTATCGCAAGTTACAGGATTGTTGAAGCCGAAATCCCCTTTTCACATAGTCGCGTTCAATGTCCGCACACTATCAGATCGGTCAAAAAGCTGCTTTAGCCAGAACCCTTAAAACTTTCAATTTAACCCTATTTTGTGACTCCGAAATACGCATACAAGACCTTACTTTAACCATCACCCTGAGTTCTCCTGACTCAACCTCATCCTCATTCTCTCTGTGTGTTAGATGATTCAGCATTCGGAACTCATTGCGTTGCTGGTGTCGGGAATGTACTAAGTATCAAAGCTGAACACTCACTTCGTGACTAGATTCCAGTCAGTAACCTTTCCCAAGGCTGCCTGGCATGGAATTCACCCTTTTTTCTACTTTTACTAATTTGACTTACGATCTTCAGAACTGGTTACGGCAGTTCCCCCTCCCCCTCATCTTCTCTTCTGGTTTATCTCGACTGTGGGTGGCTAGTCAACCTGGTAGCCAGGTGATGGTGGTAGTGGTGGTGGTGGATCTTAGACTCGCGGTTGTGCTAGTTGTTCAACAGCATGTCTTTGTGACAACCAATTTCGCCACTTCTACTGCCTATAACACTAGGGTAACTGAATAAATTGACAATCTCGGTTTGTCGCGACAGTGGTTTGATCGAAATAACAAAAAAACAGAACAAGATGTAAGCCACCAACGACATTGTAACATGCATTATTTACCGCGACGTTTTAACCGTGAGCACACACAGAACAAGATCTGCACAACTGGCGATTGATATAACAACCACAACGGGCCACGCACAGTCACGCATCTCGTGGAGGGAGGTTGCGGGAAGGATCTGCTTCACTTCGGAGTGACAGGGACAACGCTACAGAACCACGGAAAGCAACGAGATTCGTATGGAGGAGGAAAGTGAGCAATCTGTTGTGGATGAGATGTTATGTGTTATCGAGGTGCATGTTTTTGCTTCAGGTGGTTATCTGATTACCTACTCCTAACTGAGTATAGAATCAATTCATGAAAAAATCCCAGTAGTAGTGCAAACTGGCATTCCTAGTGTGATTCGATTTTATCCTTTTCAAGGACGCGCGTTTATCCCTTGAACAATCAAGTTTGCTCTGTGGACCAAAAAGATGCTAGTGAGAGTCTCGTATAGTGGTGGATGTCGCGATGCGTATTAATCATTTTTCTTAGAGAGATCATCTACTGAGCAAAAGCTTGTTATGCCTCCAAATATCGCCGCTGATCTACGGCCACTTGTGCTGTTGGTGTACAGCTTCGTTCATCGTAGACTAGTAGTACGCTACGACCTTAGTGTGCTTTGTAAGTGAAAGTTCGCGGATGAGACACAAAGAAGACTGCAAGAAGAGCAGTTCGCATTTTCGGCTGAGTAAACATTTCAGTCTGGACTTACCCGAAGAGCAACATCCTGTTCCTGAATGCGGGATTCATATTTGGTGACAAGGCGCTTCAATTTGGCCACTTCCACCTCTAGCTCTTCGAGATTCGCTGCCTGTTCGGTTTCGCAAACCGGTTCAGTGGGTTTCATGGGGGAATGTGGGTCTGGATGGATAGAACGCGTGGATGGAGAGGCCTCGAATGCATTATTCAAAACAATCACATAAANTTTTCAAATGAAAGTAACGGAACGGGAGACCGAAAATTGATGAGGAAAAAGTCGAACAAAATGACCGGTAGGGTGCAACTCGCATCGCTGAGGTTTGATCGGCGGAGTTCATTAATGCGGAATAAATGATATTCAATGTTTCTTCACTTGTGTGTATCTAGGTATGTTTGCATCTATTGCATGCAATCGAGAAAGACAGTTCGACTTCCCAACTAGCAGTTCTGAACTCATGCAATGATGCTGTTACAACAAATATGTCTGAGCCATGATCTAATTGGTGCACATTCGGATCGTATTAGAAGTGCGAATCCATCGGAAAATGAGCGTGGCTGCAAGAAACTGAAGGTATGTGTGTATGTGATACTATACTAATGAGTGAAATAATCGTGATCGAATTCAATGCAAATAGAAAACCCCATGTGTTAGAGTTGGGCGAAAGCAGATTCAATTTTATCAGTTTCCCAAAATTGCTAGGTTGGGAATAAGAAATCAAAACTTTTTCATGGATCAGCTGAATCACTGATGTGATATTGTTGTGCTGAAAGATATGTTTAACGCATGGGGTAGAAAACCGAGTACATCAGAAGCCTGTCTAAATGGTCTACCCGTAATGCGAACAGATAACAGTGATGGACCTCTTTGGTTCTGCGCAAATCATCGCTGGGAGAACCAACTTCCGACACGGGTCTCGACGCACGGAAACATGGTGTTTAAGATGAATGCGTCGGCTGAAGCCTACTGATGACGTCGGAGTAAACTTTCGTTGGTGGGGCTTAGAATAAACGAACTGGTTTGGATGCGGTTCACGCTAAGACACATTGGACACGGACAAAAGCCGCAGTCTTGATCGGACTAGCAATATCCGCGCGATCCAGTTATTTGCGTTCGTTATGAGGAAAAACTGGGGTATGATCTAGGAGTGGTGTATGCGGTGGAGTAGGTAAGCGGTCGGATTAAATTGGATATGCAATGCATTCGGTGGTAAGCTATGCGAATGGATCCGAGACCGAAGTTCGTTCAAGACATTGGATCTCCCGGGACTCAAAAGTCTTGGCGAAGCGATAGCGACGGGAATGAAACCGGAACAGGTCATATTTACAACGCCAAATCGTGAAAAACCTCGATCAATATCATCACGTGTCTAAGTAGTTCATTTGTATCAACCAACATTGGAAACTGTTTCACAATTTTTTTATTACATAGCCTTGTGCTACCATGGGCTGCATTTAAGGGAACCTGCCACGCAAACACGATAGCCAGCAATTTAAGTTCTGGAGCTCCAAATCATATAAGGCCTCAGAAAGACAGATATGGTGATGAACTCGTGACAGCAAAGCTGCTTGCCAAAAAAGTTTGGGGGGGGGGGGGGCTAATAGGATAACGACATTCAATTTCCGTAACCAAAGCATACCATTATTACTAAGAGGAGCATCGCAAAAATGGTATGCTCCAGCAATTGTACTAGGCTGCACAACAAGTGAAGAACAAAATCAGAGTGTGAAAGTACAACACATTCAGATCTTTTCTAATCCCGGGAATTCAGAATGAATATGCTGACACGACCATGCTCCAAACGTGCACGGAGAGAGAGCTTTGAAGGGACATCCAATTGGACGACTTCTGTCATCCATTGAAGACAAAAAATCTTGTCACGGTTGACAAGCACATTTTCCTTGTACAACCCGAAATAGGACAGTGCAAACACTCAGTCTTCACCAAACAAACAAAGATATTCCAGCAGACACACAGGGAAAGAGAGAAACAACTGTAACCCAAGCAGCACGTTCCCGATTTAGACAAAAGTGAATGAAGTAAGATCAAGGAAAAGTCACCGCGGGGGGAGTAGGGTATTGATCTACCAGACTTAGCGACGACAGGGTTTTTGTTCATATTAATAAATGATTAATACGTGTGTATCTACAGTGTCTCAGTTAGTGAATTGGAATGTGCACTGTATAGGGTGTGGTTCCCGGGTGATGGGTCCCTAAAAATCAGGATGGGACCATAGCAACAGATACTGTTGACAGGGTAGTGCTTTAAGCGAAAAGACCAGAGAGATAACAAATTACAACCGCGAAAAGGGGGGTTTATTTACCTGGGATCTTCATAGCTTTTGTCTCACCATTCACAACGGATGAATCAGGATCATGGGAGTTTGGTCGCGTATGAACATCCCGTAATTGGTGCCACAAGCGTCGTGATAACTGACGCACTCGTTGCATTAAATGTTCTCGCACGAGAGCATAGGGAAGTTGTAGGAGCAATTCGTTCACTTTAGCGGACGAATGACGATCTACGTTGTTTGGAGAGATTTGCATGTGATCCTCGGGTTGTGCCGCGTCGTCATCGGATGTGTCTCGTTTGAGGGATGGGATTTGATCCTCATCTGTATCCTCGTCCAGAGAATCAATTCCATCATCTGCCAAAGGAGAACTAACAGTAGTTTGTCTCACATTCCCCTCCATCGACGATGATTTGATACGCTCCAAAAACCCGGTAAATCTAACCATGCGGGATGCCATCTGACTGACCACATCACGCAATTCACGGTTCTCGTACAGCAGGGTGTTCTGTCGCTCTTCTAATTGTTGAACGACCAACGCATACAGATCCGCCTGGACGGGGATCATTGAAAATGGGCAA